CACAGCCCTAGCACGGAGGGCGAGTTAGGATGCCGAGGTGGTCGCCTGACTGTGCAAGGAGCGAGATGAGCTACTCCAGACCATGGGGAGGCTCTACTTGGAGCATAGCACGGCCCATGAGGAGCGTGACCAGGCCGTCCGAGGTCACGACGAGGTGCAGTAGAGGATCGGTTCCCTCTAGGCCGAGCTCAGAACCACGACAACCTAGAGGCTGGAGGCTGAGAGCGTCTTTGCTGGGCTAGCCATGGAGCTCGCCAAGGCATGGAGGAACCTTCAAGTGGAGAGCAATGAGCATGATCTCTTGAGCACTGCCCTCGAAGTGGTCTACGATGACCTAGAAGTGGTGTGGTTGGAGGGGACCAGCTCGCTTGCGGCCCGTGCCATAGATATCACGATGCGGGTGCGCTAGCTTGAGAGGGAAGCTCTTCATGCTGGGATCACCTAGGCCTTCGCAATTGCTCATTTGCATTACGTGGATAGCACCGACTTGGAGACGATGAGCCTCGGTTTTGCCCCTGGCTACGAAGCCTTCGAGCTAGACAAGATAGAGACAGTGGTGGCTCCTCTTGCGCGGGACCTGGCGGATAGAGTTGAAGACATAGTTCTACCCCAAGGGGCTAGTTAGTCAAATAGGTTGGATGGACATTATTGTAATCTGTGAACAAGCGCCGACCCTTAAGTATCGCAAAAACAATTTTGTCATTTCATTTCATTTGATTGAACTTGTTTTCTTCCCCTTTTGTATGCAAAAAAGGGGTTCACGTATTCTGACCCTTCCGTTCGTTAAGACTGTAGGGCCCGAGTGTAAGAGGAGAACTTCGATCGTGCTGGTGAGCAAAGACACCATAGTCGCCGAGGCGTAGGCTTTTTGCAGTCCGACTAGGGATGCTCAGTTGTTCGTTTCCACAAACCTTGCCGCTAGGCTTAGCGTGAGGAAGAGGTTTGACACGGCGACTATTTTAGAAAAGGTGTACTTATACCTTTATCAGCCCCCGAGTGAGATCCGACCCCTTGCCGTTGCTACGGTCGGATGTCACCAAAAATCGAGGAGAGGATAGTGAAACTTAGTAGGAGAAAGCATCTCTTGCATTCACACGTACCCCTCCCTAGGATCTTTAGCTATCATTCTGTGACCATGCGTTTGGTCTCCTTGCAAGTCCAACCTTCCTCGAGCCCCCACGCATAGCGGGGATTTGATCAAGGGTCGGCTCATTTTTGTGACTATCGCCTCGTCCCCAGATTTTGCAACAGGA